CGGAGCCCTCTAGGAAACGATGTATGTTGCCCGCCGTCCACGACGCTTCGGGCCGCATCTCTTTCCTGCGAAAATATTCTAATAAAGAAAAAGCATCAATTATGGTCACAAAAGCCGTATCAACTACACCCTGCCGGTATTCCGCTTCAGGGAGTCGAGAAAGATGCTCGAAAAACACCAGAGGCCAGTCTCGAGAGGCTGGTACCCCTAGTAGATTTTGTAGAGGCATGGTATCATCTTCCCAACATATCTGCATGGGTCCTGCATATAATAAAATCAGGGTACAGACTGCAGTTCGCGCGCTGCCCCCCCAGGTTTTCAGGGGTAGTGCAGACTACAGTGGTTCCAGAGCAGGCTCAGGTGATGGAACAGGAGGTACAGACTCTGCTGCTAAAGGAAGCCATAGAACGTGTTCTTCCTTTGGACAGGGAGTCCGGGTTTTACAGCCGGTACTTTATAGTTCCAAAGAAGGATGGGGGGTTAAGGCCAATTTTAGATCTCAGGGTTTTGAACCGGTCTCTGAGGAGGTTCAGGTTCAAAATGCTAACCATTCCTGCAATCGTGAGTCAGATCAGGTCCGAGGACTGGTTTGTCACGATAGATCTAAAAGACGCTTATTTTCACATCTCCATCCTTCCATGTCACAGGAGATACCTGAGGTTCGCTTTCGGGGGCGAAGCTTACCAATATCGGGTTCTTCCGTTCGGCCTAGCTCTCTCTCCCCGCACATTCACCAAATGTGTGGATGTAGCCCTTGCTCCACTGAGACTTCAAGGCATTCGTATATTGAATTATCTCGACGACTGGCTCATTCTGGCTCAGTCTCGGGAGATGGCAGTTCGGCATCGAGATGTCGTCCTTGGCCACATTCAGAAATTGGGGTTGAGACTCAATACAAAGAAAAGTGTGCTAGAACCATCCCAGTGCACGATGTTTTGGGAGTCGTGTGGAACTCGATTACGATGCAGGCACGAATGTCTCCCGCACGTATCGAGTCAATTCTGGGGATGGTATCCAGGTTAAAGCTAGGCCAAGCCATCACTGTAAAGCAATTTCAAAGAATGCTGGGCCTCATGGCAGCGGCATCCAACATCATTCCTTTGGGCCTTCTACACATGAAGCCCCTTCAGTGGTGGTTAAAAACCAAGGGGTTTTCTCCCAAGGGAAATCCGTTTCGTATGATCAGAGTAACGCGCAGATGCCTTCGTTCTCTACAAATATGGAAGAAACCTTGGTTCCTGTCCCAAGGGCCAGTGTTGGGAGTGTCTTGTCGCCGGAAAACCGTTTCGACAGATGCCTCCCTCACTGGCTGGGGCGCGGTCATGGACGGCCGCTTTGCCAGGGGTCTGTGGCAGGACCATCATCATTCTTGGCATATAAATTGCCTGGAGATGATGGCTGTGTTCAGGGCTCTGAGGAGCTTCCTCCCAGACATCAAAGGTCACCATGTATTAGTACGATCAGACAATACGTCAGTGGTAGCCTATCTGAACCGACAAGGGGGACTCAGATCGCGCCCTCTGTGCAGACTGGCGCATCAGATTATTCTTTGGTCCCAGGGGAAAATATTGTCTATCAGAGCAATGTATATTCCGGGGGTTCAGAATCAGGGAGCAGACATCCTGTCGAGGCAGGGGCTGAGGCCCGGGGAATGGAGACTTCACCCAGAGGTGGTGAAGTTAATATGGGAGAGGTTTGGACCGATGGAAGTGGACCTGTTTGCGTCTCGAGAGACGTCCCACTGTCCACTTTGGTTCTCCCTCTCACATCCAGCCCCACTGGGGTTGGATGCCATGGTACAGGCCTGGCCGAGGCTTCGCCTGTACGCTTTTCCCCCGATCGCTCTGCTTCCGGGAGTCCTGGAGAGGGTCCGTCAGGAGGGCATCAGTTTACTTCTGGTTGCCCCAAGGTGGCCGACCCGAGTATGGTTTTCAGACATAATATCACTCCTGATAGCTCCGCCATGGCAGATTCCTCTGAGGAGGGATCTGTTGTCTCAAGCGGAGGGCACAGTCTTCCACCCTCACCCAGAGCTGTGGAAGCTGTGGGTCTGGCCTCTGAGGGGGTTCAGTACCTAGATGCTGGTCTATCAGCCGGAGTGGTTGAAACCATACTTAGTTCTAGGGCTCCATCTACTAGGAGATTATATGGCCTCAAGTGGAATGTTTTTTCCGCTTGGTGTAGAGAACAGGAGTTAGATCCAGTTAACTGCCCAGTGGCTTCAGTTCTGGAGTTTCTTCAAAATCGTTTCTCTGCGGGTCTCTCCCCTTCCACACTTAAGGTGTACGTGGCTGCCATTGCGGCTTTCCATGCACCATTGAGTGAGGGGCCTCTGGGGAGGCACCAGTTGGTCATTCGGTTTCTCCGTGGTACTCGGAGGATGAGACCGACAACCAGGTCCAGGGTCCCTACCTGGGACCTGGCAATAGTTCTTGAAGGGTTATCCCTGGCCCCCTTCGAACCTTTGCAGTCGGCTTCGCCTAAGGACTTGACGCTAAAAGTGGTATTTCTCTTGGCTATTACCTCACTTAAGAGGGTGGGAGATCTCCAAGCCCTGGCAGTGACACCAGCTTGCTTGGAGTTTGCCCCTGGCAGAGTAAAAGCTTTTTTGCACCCGAGTCCGGGCTATGTGCCTAAAGTTCCATCTAGTACGGCTCGGTCTTCAGTCCTTCAGGCATTCCATCCTCCACCTCATGTGTCGGTAGAAGAAGAGAAGCTTCATTTGCTCTGCCCCGTCAGAGCTTTGAGCGTGTACCTTGAGAGGTCCTCTTCTTGGAGAAGGTCGGACCAATTATTAGTATGTTTTGGGTCACCTAAGAAGGGGCTCCCGGCATCCAAGCAGACTATTAGTAATTGGATTGTTCAAGCTATTACTGAGGCTTACAAGGTGCGCAACTTGCCTTCACCTTTAGCCGTGAGGGCCTATTCAACTAGAGGCATGGCTTCCTCTAGGGCCCTTCTTTCGGGAGTACCCCTACAGGAGATCTGTGAGGCAGCCGGTTGGGCTACTCCACATACTTTTATTAGGTTCTACAGTCTCCACCTTCCTAGTACGCCTGGTGCACACGTGCTTAGTCCTCGCTGAGTGCCTAGACAGTTTCACTCCGGGACAGGCCTATTCGGTGCGTGGCCTAGTGGGCACTCGTTCCCCAAAGAGTCGATTCTCGACGCAGTGTTAAGTTCCCTCGAAAGGGAACGTCTCGGGTTATGACTATAACCCTTGTTCCCTGAGAAGGGAACGAGACACTGCGTCGTTCTGCCACGCCCCTTAAGGCCTGAGAGCGGCTTGCTTCATCGCTAGGCTAGTTTGTGTTTGTTCCGACGTAGCTTTTATGCATCCGGTTATGCCGTCACATGTTACGTCATGACGCAACACCAATCAGGATTGGAATAGTTTCATTCATACTTCAGAGGCGCACGCTAAGGGAGCGTCCCCAAAGAGTCGATTCTCGATGCAGTGTCTCGTTCCCTTCTCAGGGAACAAGGGTTATAGTCATAACCCGAGACGTTTCCTTTCAAGGCGGTCACTTCGACATTACGTCATACTGACGTATATGGGAACTCCTCCCTTCTCCATTTTCACTGAAATCTTATAGGTTAACGCCAGCTGGAGACAGCTGGCCAATTGACGCAAAACATGCAAATGCTGACCGGTCCGCAGGCAGTATAAATAGCATGGGCGCGACAATTACGAATCTTTTTCTTCACGCTAGAAGTCTTATCTGAAGTCATCGTGGAAGTTGCAATAGAGGTTACTCACCATGATTCCTCCCCGCATCCGATGGCTGCTACATGCCAGATATGTGCGGTATTGACTCGCTCTACCCAAACAAGGATCTACTGAGGCCGCACTCACGGACGACAGGCATGTGCCGGTCTACCAGTGCGCGCCCTCATAAACCCGGGCATCAGCAGGGATGAGGCCCACTGCCGCCAGCGGCATAAGATAATGTGTTGAGGCCATATGCAAAATAGATAAACGCCCCCAGGCAAATGCTAAACTCTGTAAACACACTATATTTTTTAGTCAGATTAATATTCGTCTTGCGCGGCTATGAGGAATAATCCTGGGACATTACCACAGAAGTGCTGGTTTATTTTCACTTCGAGGAGGAGCAACAGATTCAGCTGAGAAGTGTAAGTGTTTCATGCTTGTGCTTTGTTCTTCTAGGAAAATGGTTAATGAAACATGGATTAAAATGAAGATACAATTAATACAACACGAAATTCAATTTAAAGAAAGGCTTGGTGTTTTTTTGAGGCCTCTGTGAAAGTTTGAAAGTCTTTTAGTGCCGCTTTCTGAGTGTTCGCGTCCGTAATAGAGAACTGTCACGCAACATTGTTGGCGCCCCCATACAATAGCAGCATGTTGAAATTGTGTGCCAAAATGCGTTTTCTATTATGGTGTGTTCACACCGAACGCGAATTTAATTAGTCAATGCAAAGACGCGAATAGACGCATCATTCGGGTCGGGGGTTGCGAATGACGCGAATTGGGCGACGCGTTTGCCGCGAATGTCTTCCGCGCAAGATGAAAAATTTGAACTCGAGCGAATGTTCAAGCGTCTAACTAGACGCGATAGACGCGTATTTGACGCTAATGGCAGTTTTTGTTTCTTATTTAGAGTATAATTTCATAAAAAAATGATTTCATATTTTCATATTATAAAAAAAAAAACATTAAAGGTATAGTTCATCCAAAAATAAAAATTCAGTCATCATTTACTCAACCTCATCGTCTAAAAGTGTATCTGTAATAAATTCTATGCTGAATCACATATTTCTTTCCGAAGTTACTTTTTGTAATGTCTATTTGATGTTTTACACAATGACTTATTCAATATATTGGTAATGAATTCTCATAGAATACATTCTATGAGAATTTATATTTCAAGTTTTGACTGTAAATGTCACGTAACACATAACACTGGAATTTCTCTACATCGAAATGAGAGTAACGGACTTGTGGTGTAAACCGGGCCTCTTATTGTCCCACATACTTGAGTATCTGGAGTGAGCAGTTTGGATCCTTCAGTTTGTCAGAGAGCAGCTTGACTCCTGATTCTCCTGGGTGATTGTAGCTCAGATCCAGCTCTCTCAGGTGTGATGGGTTTGAACTCAGAGCTGAAGACACATAACCACAGCCTTCCTCTGTCACCATACAGCCAGACAACCTACAGAAACACACAGTCAGACCATCTACAAAACACACATCTACATTATGAACGGAAGACTGTAAATAATCTCTCATATGTGCTCTTAAATACCTCAGAATCTGCAGCTGACAGTTTGGGCTTTTCAGTCCATCAGAGAGCAGCTTCACTCCTGAATCCTGCAAGTCATTGTTACTCAGATCCAGCTCTCTCAGGTGTGATGGGTTTGAACTCAGAGCTGAAGACACATAACCACAGCCTTCCTCTGTCACCATACAGCCAGACAACCTACAGACACACACAGTCAGACCATCTACAAACACACATAAACATTATGCCAGGCAGACTGTAAATAATCTTTCATATGTTTTTAAATACCTCAGTATCTGCAGCTGACAGTTTGGACTTTTCAGTCCATCAGAAATAATCTTCACTCCTGAATCCTGCAGGTCATTGTTACTCAGATCCAGCTCAAACAGGTATGATAGGGTTGAACTCAGAGCTGAACACACATGACCACAGCCTTCCTCTGTCACCATACAGCCAGACAACCTACAGACACACACAGTCAGACCATCTACAAACACACACATCAACATTATGACCGGCAGACTATAAAAAATAATCTCTCATATGTTCTCAAATACCTCAGTATCTGCAGCTGACAGTTTGGGCTTTTCAGTCCATCAGAAATAATCTTCACTCCTGAATCATGCAGGTCATTGTTACTCAGGTGGAGCTCTCTCAGGACAGAGTTTGAGGATTGTAAAGCTGATGACACAATTTCACAATCCTGACCAGTGGGATTACAGCCAACAAGACTAGAAGAGAGTAAACACTGCACAATAAGTTGGGGTTCAGGGTGATTTTCTTTAAAGGGGCAGCAGTAGCACATTAAAAAAAGGAAAAATAGATGAATAAATAATTGGCAATGCAAAGATAAAATAAAGTCAAATATTGTGAAATATGTGGTCGTTGTGTAGAAGTAGTCTACATTGGTGGATGAAAGTAAATATAAAAAAATATATATATATATAACAAAAAACAAAAAATAAAAAAATAATTAAAGTAAATAAAGAATTGCCAAGATATAATGTAGATTGAATCTGTTTCAAATGGAGTTGGGCCGCAAGGTCAAAGCCTGTCACTTTCGGCTCTGGCCACACCCTCAGGTGAAGTCACAGGTGCATTATTCCCAGAGGCCTTGGGTGCTTCTCAATATCCCTCCTCGTCTCCTCGCTCCTCCGTCCTCCATCCTATGACCCGGAAACCAATCGAGCTCAGCCATCTTGAAGGACATCTCAATTCTCTAACTGCACCACGAGGAGTCGAGGATCGAGGAGTGAGGAGGCTTCCAGAGGAGCTATGAGCGAGGATACACAGGTGTACCCTTTGCGGAAGAGTTTTATCGACTAAACATGACGCACGTATCAATTCTCCTCCCCCTTCACATCTGTCACAATCATTTGAATTTATACTTTACTTTTGTAGTTTACATAAACCACACAACTCACATATTTCAACAAGGTATCTTGCTTTATTATTATTTATTATTAATTTCTTAAATAAACAAACTTTAACAACATAAGGGCAGATCCTTTGAGCACTGCTGATGACGCAGTGAAGTGACGTTCGAGTGATCAAATATTCCAATGAATAAAAAAGCTTTCATTCAATTCCTCCGTCCTCATTTTTTTTCCTTGCAGCCTTCCCTCGCGTCCTACAGGGGGTGGAGCTGAGACGCGAGGAAAGGAAGCGAGGAAAGGAAACGAGAATGCACAAATAAGCATCTCGATCGCCCCCCGGTGGTTGATACCAGTATAGCTCACAAAGCCCCTTTGCCCATTAAGTCTAATGGACGCGATGGAAACTAAATCAAATTACACTTCAAATTCATTTTTTTCAAAGATGTTTTTCTGTCATTTTAGGTAGTTTTTATCACACTGATTTAAGTTAAAGTTTTTTTTTTTTAAGTAATTTAGTTTGTGATCTTAGTTTGTTATTTGATGCTATAAAAACAGCTTCTCTAAATGAATTAGTCACTGAGGCACCAACAGACTTTTTGGGGGGATTTTCTGGAGGATATTGGAGCTTGAATGAAGGGACGTCATCCGTCTTTTTTTACAGTCTATAGTCCACACTGGCAGTTTCCAAAAATTGTCTGTCTACACCAAATCATCTAAAAATGCTTAAATCCTTTTACAGCACCAGCATAAAACGGCATAAAAGCTCAATTATATGGTGCCAGATCAAAATCATAGACAGTAAAGCGACCCCATAGACTTCAACGGAGAAAAGTGAAGTCAATTACAAGCACTCACTTCCTGATGGCTGAGCGACTGCACCGGCTCAAACTGAGCTTGACGACGGAGATGTGACGTGAGCAACCTGTCTGAAAGCTGTAAGTCTTCTAGTAGCGGTGCCAAGAGGAATCTGAATCATTCCCTTCCGAATCTTGCAGAGCTGGAGAGCGTGAGTAGGAGCTGCCCATGAGCAGCAGGAGCAACTTTATGACTCTCTATGGGCTTCTCCCTTGACTTTATGCCTCCACGTCCTCCCGATTGCCTGCAAGCTTCTACTTCTGTCTCTACTGTGCGACAGAGAGTCGCGTGTTATGACGCAATTGTTAGCTTATTTTTACAAAAACTGATTCAACGGGGCCATAATGTAAGATACAAGGTAATGGAGCCTTTTATACATTGTCTTGTTTCTTTAGAAATAAACAATGGACAAATGGAGTCTTTAAACACCTCAGATGTAAAGTTATTCGCTGTCAAAGTGACGCCAAAATGAATGGGAGTCAATGGAATGCTAACAGCAGGTGATGGTCTGATAGCCAATGGCGGCCCCAAGGAGGCTTCAGTTTCCGGCTGATGGATCACCCCCTTGATCAAAATGCAAGTTATTACCATATAAATGCCTCATTCATTCATTCATTCATTCATTATATTTTCTGGGATTTCCCTGTTATTAAGAATTATATGCACATTGCCCTACAAAGATATTTTTAAACATGTAAATGTGTTTATCCACTTGAAAGATAATTCATCAACGCCACACAAGACTAACCAAATCACTTGGACGTGGCTGTGGTTACAAGAGCTGCTGTAGGACAGAAGCAGGACGCGAAGTCATGAAGTTAAAACGCAGAATATTGGAAGGCAGAAGAACGAGCAGTGTGACCTTTAAATGCTCACGATGGGACCAAAGAAAAACCAACAGACTGGTGAATTCGATGAGATTAAAAAATCGCTCGACTTCCTAACAGAGGAAATTTCTGCGGTCAGGTTGCAGCAGAAAAGTATCCTGGATCTGGTCGAGGAGGTGAAGGCTTTGCGGACTCAGAATGCCGAGAAAGAAAAGAGAATCTCATACTTTGAGAGTAGAGTGGCGGACTTGGAACAGTATTCAAGAATTAATGATGTGATTGTCACCGGGCTTCATATTAAACCCCGGTCATACGCTCGGGCGGTGGCCACTGACAACGGGGGTGAACCCGGTGAGATGGAAGTTAACTCCACGGAGCAACAGGTGGCTAACTTCTTACAGGCCAAAGGGATTCAGTTGGACTGTAACTCCATTGAGGCTTGTAACGCCGACATAGCCAGAAAAGCACGCTTCTTGTAGAAACAGAGGAAAATTCAAAACACTTGGACTACAAATTGCAAAATATTTATTAAACTAAATGGATCACCTGAGGAAGCAAAATTACTAGTCATCAGGAATATGGAGGATCTGGATAAGTATCAGTGATGATCAATATCTGGACTATAAGGTAACAAACAGCTACACACAACCATATGATACACGATGAAAGAACTAATTCATTTACACCTGAACACGATAACCTAAGAACTATGATGAATAGTGATCAAGACATGCAGGATCTGAATCCTTTTGAATACATTGACTATAACTTACATGATTTGGAAAATAATATAGACCCGGACAATAACTTCTTCTCCACCATCAACAATAACTGCAGCTACTACACTGATGATCAGTACAACAAAATGATTAATTCAAATGGCAAATTATCCACTTCAATAGCAGAAGCCTGTATGCCAACTTTATTAACATTAAGGATTATTTAAACAGATTTTCACAACCATTTAAAATCATAGGTATCTGAAACATGGTTCAACTCGGAAAAAGGGATGGACTTTGAGCTGGAAGGTTATGAACTTAGATATAACAATAGATTAAACAAGGGTGGAGGAGGAGTAGCAATATATGTGGATAAATCTCTGAACTTTAAGGTGCTGGAAAATATGACAGCTGTGGTTGATAACCTATTAGAATGTATAACAATAGAAATATATGTGGAAAAATCTAAAAATGTAATCTTAAGTATAGAGCACCAGGATCGAATATAGAACAATTCGATGACTGGATGGAGTGTATGTTTATAAAAAAAAAGCTATAAAAACATCTTTACATGTGGGGATTTCAATATTGACCTGTTGAATCCTAATAAGCATAAACTTACTGATGAAATTATTAATACAATGCATAGTATGAGTCTATTTCCGTTAATAACCAAACCCAGTAGAATTACATCTTATTAATCCACCCTAATTGACAATATTTTTACTAATAATATCGAGAACAACACCGTGAATGGTTTATTAATGAATGATATCAGTGACCACCTGCCAGTTTGTACAGTTTATGATTGTAAATATAGGATTAATAAGCCTGACAAGCAAACCGAATTTAGAAGAGTGAGGTCAGAGGAATCTATTAACAAACTGAAAAAAGATCTGCTGGCACAGAACTGGGATATATTATATCAGGAAAAAGACATTAACAATGCGTATGAGATATTCTTAGAACTTTTTATCTATCTATCTATATAACAGAAATTGTATAATAAAAGAATATTGTAGAAAATTAAGATATACAAATTGCCCATGGATCACAAAGGGAATACAGAATGCATGTAAAAAGAAAAACACACTGTATAGGGAATTCATAAGACGGAGAACTATAGAGACAGAAAATAAATATATAAAATATAAAAAATAAATTAACTCAAATTATAAAGGCCTGCAAGAAGAAGTATTATATGAACAAAATTAATAATAATAAAAATAATATAAAGGAATATGGGATACACTGAATAGTATTATTAGAAATAGTCCAAAAAATATAGGTTTTCCTAAGTATTTTATTGTTAAGGATAAGGAAAATTACCATATGGAGGATGTGGCTTACAGTTTCAACCAGTTCTTTGTTAATGTGGGACCTGACCTAGCTGGTAGGGGTGGAACGGTACATGTATTCGTATCGAACCGAAACGGTACGGGCGTCACGGTTCGGTGCACGAATTTACACGGAGAATACACGGTATAAAAATAAATAAAACTCGCGTGCAAATTAATTAATGTAATGCGGAACTACCGTTAGATACGCGGGTTCTTTAGGGACACATAATCTGTTCCATCGGCTTAGCTCTGAACGCGCGTTCACTTCAAACGTTCGCTTTATACGCGCGTCCTATTCGCTTTGGACTAGCGTCGAACTAGACGCGAATTTGACGCTCTATTCGTGTTTGGTGTGTGACCGCGAGAGAGAGGCGAAATCGAACTGTGTGTGTGTGTGTGTGTGTGTGTGTGTGTGTGTGTGTGTGTGTGTGAGACAGAGAGAGAGAAAGAGAGAGAGAGAGAGGCGCGCGACCGAACAGTGGAAACATAAAAAAAAAACATACTCCGCAATTTTGTTCATACAGATCATTAAACCTGCAAAGTTTACTTATATTTGTGTACACTCGCATTAAAACACAACATTGTGCACACTGTAAACTCTTGTCAAACTGCAACCTACAACTGTCACTCAACCAAAATCAACACACACACACACACCCACACACACACACACACACACACACACACACACACACACACACACACACACACACACACACACACACACACTGTTTTAAAAGAAAAACATATTTATCCGACTCCATTTCAACAGTCTGTGGGTCCCATCTTTTGGACATTCGTCATATTGCATTGGTTTTCATTTCTTGTCCTCGGAGCACTAATCTTACACATTCTACATTGATTAAAAAAGAAAATCGAATGTGTTTTTAATGGTAGGTATTATTTTAAAAGAAATCAATTATTTATAATTCAGATGAGAATAATGTTACATTGTTAATTAATAATGTTAATTAAAATTAAGGAAAAAAAATATACTGATCTGAAATATAGCAAATTAATTTTAAATTAATTCAGGTACAATTACCAAACAAGGTCTTTTTGTCTTTTCATTAATTTAATTAATAAACTAATTATATACAACTATTGTCAGTGCACTACAAATAAACTGGTTCTATGCCTTTATATAATAAAACTTATTTAAAAAATACAATGCCTTCTGCATTTTTGTTTTGCTTTTCCCTCCATTGTACCGAAATCGTACCGAACCGTGATGTCTGAACCGAGGTATGAACCGAACCGTGACTTCTGTGTACCGTTCCACCCCTACTAGCTGGAATAATCCCTGATCCTGGGCCATCGAAAGATCAAGGTAATAAATTAATAGAGAGAAATCAGAGTTCAATGTTTCTTAGGCCAGTGGATGAGAATGAAATATTGATATTGTGAACAAATGTAAGAACAAATTGTCTACCGATTACAATGATATTGACATATCATTTCAAACAGGTTCATTTCCAAACAAAATGAAAATAGCCAAAGTCATACCTATGTATAAAAATGGGAGCAAACACCACTTCACAAACTATAGACCTGTACCCTTACTTCCACAATTCTCCAAAATTCTTGAAAAAGTCTTTAGCAACAGATTAGAAACATTCTTGGATAAACATCAATTACTCACTGACAGTCAATACGGATTCAGATCAAACAGATCTACATCAATGGCAATAATAGAATCAATTGAGGAAATCACTAATGCTATAGATCATAAAAATTATGTATTGGGGGTATTTGTTGATCTGAAAAAAGCTTTTGATACTATTGACCATGACATACTTAACATACATAAATAAAATGGAAAGGTATGGTATCAGGGGGATAGTATTAGACTGGGTGAGGAGTTATTTAAGTAAGAGACAGCAGTTTGTAAAGTTAGGAAGCTCCAGGTCAGTGTGTCTGGACATTGCTTGTGGTGTCCCCCAGGGGTCAGCGTTGGGACCAAAACTGTTTATTTTATATATTAATGACATATGTTCAGTATGTAAGCTGTGGAAGATGGTGTTATTTGCAGATGGTACAAATATATTTTGTTCAGGTGAAAACTTACTGCAACTAGTGAAGGATGTTACTAAAAGAAATGAACAAATTAAAATCATGGTTTGATAGAAATAAATTATCATTAAATTTAAATAGAACCAAATTAATGTTATTTGGGAATTGTAATATGAATATTCAGGTGAACATACAAATAGATGGGGTTATTATTGATAGAGTTCACGAAAATAAATTTCTTGGGGTAATTATAGATGATAGAATCAGTTGGATATCACACATTAAATATGTACAATCTAAACTATCAAGATCAATTGCAGTATTAAACAAAGCAAAGCAGGTTCTGGATCAAAAATCCCGCCACTTGTTGTACTGTTCACTAGTTTTACCATATTTCATCTACTGTGCTGAGAGTTGGGGACACAACTAAAAAACTTCATTACATTTACTATCTGTGCTCCAAAAAAGAGCAATAAGAATAATACACAACGCTGGGTATAGGGATCACTTACTATTTCTTCAGTCAAAATTATTAAAATTCACAGATCTTGTGAAGTATCTATCAGCCCAAATAATGTTTAAAGCCATAAATAATCTATTGCCGAGGAATATTCAAATATTATTTAGGAAGAGGGAGGGTGGTTATAATTTAAGGGCGGCACACAACTTTAAAACAAACAGGATACGGACAACCAGGAAAAGCTTTTGCATTTCAAGTTCTGGAGTAAAGCTGTGGAACAGTCTCAATGAGGAACTAAATCAATGTCCAAACATAAATCAATTTAAAATCAAGTACAAATATATGGTTTTCAAAGGTTATAGGGATGAAGTAGGCGGTGAATAATCAGTGTTTTTGGGGCTAGTAATTATCTTCAGTATCATAGTGTTTTTTATCATTACTTTTTTTTTTTTTTTGTACTTCTGAAATTTATTATTTATTATTTCCTAATATGTATTTATTTATTTTTTCATTGTTTAAATGCAAATGAGGAGGGGCTGTGTCTTAGGGGGTCAATTTCTGCCCATTGGTTGGTTAGCATTTTACTGCATCGGTCGAATCTAACTGAAACACACGTTCTGTCAGAGCGTCCAAACGAAAAAATAATAAAGTCAATACTTATAACGTTAGCATTGTTTTCAAAAACAGTTGCTAAATGCCTCAGCTCACTGACAACTTCATCGTAGGTAGCCATCTTTGTTGTGACTGTGGCCGGTGGCATGTAGATTCGACCGATGCAGTAAAATGCTAGCCAACCAATGGGCATAATGAGGCAGAAATGCATACAGAAATGTAAAAACGACAGGCAAAAATAAATAGCATTGAAGAAATAAATAGGGTAAAAAAATACAAAGGAAGAATAATACAGACAAAAATATTATAACATGCACACAAATAAATAAGGTAATTATTACAAAGGTGAAAAAATAAAGAAGCTAATTAAGACATATATACATTTATGTCTCGTATAATTTAATTTCTACCTACATTTATTTCTTTATTGTATTTTTTGGGGCAATTAATTGTATGCTTATTTAATTATTGAGCATTTATTTATTTCTGCATTTATTTTTAAATATGGTAGAGTTGGTCCTCCATAGTGCGCGAGCCACAAGAGATAGAGAACACTGTATCCGCACCACTGATAGCAACCAGCACTCAGCGGGATCTCAGAAACTACACATTCCAGCGCTAGAATGACTCTTATTTAACAAACCAACACAATTAATGCACTACTAGTTAACCAGAGATGTTTTATTTATTTGTATTAGTTACATCCGTGCCGCGAGATGTTTCAGAAAGTAGTGGGGGCAATATCGACCCAGGCAAGAAGTGGCATATTCGTATTATTCAGATGTTTCAGAAATATTTACATATTTACGCAAATGACACCTAGGCCTATATAGCTGTTATAATGCACAGTGGAGAAGACTTGGAGATTGTAGCTGAAGGCCTGGACTGAAACCAAATGAATTGTGTTTTTATTAATGCAGAATAAAATCTGTCCTGAGTAATTTCTGTCGCCCGGTCTCGATCATCGACCCACAACACAGAGCTAAACGAAGACCGGAAACACACAAACACACTCCGTCATGTTGGTTACACAGATAAGAGTAGGATTGGTCGAAACTGCTAAGTATTTACTTTTGTGTACACTCACAATAAAACAGAACATTGTGCTTTTGTAAAATAAATCGATCAAACAGGAAGTGTTTTCTGCCGTCTCGGTTTCCTTTCCGTCAACTTGTTTGTGGATCGCCTCACAGAAATGAACCAAACTCAGCAGAATACTGTCACAGTTTCTTCTTTTGTTTTGTTAATCTGTTCATTATTTAAGTCAAATATATTTAGCATATATATATTCCTTTTATACAGGCCTATAGACTATGGTTTTATGAAAACAAATGATTATTTATATTTTATATTGAATGTAACTATTTTCCTTGAATCCTCCTGGCGACCCAGGGTTTGTAAACCTGTGCTCTAGGGCATCGGTTCCTAACAGGGGGGTCGCGGCCCACAAGGGGGCCTCAGCGAGCTCTGTGGGGGGTCGCGTCATATTTTGAAAGGTTTGAGCAATGAGCATTAAATAAAAGTCCTTAACTTTTTTCTGTTCAAAATGTACAAAATGTATATAATGAGCGAGTTCATCATGAATCCATTTTCCAATCCGGGTTTTTGTCTTATCTTGAACCACTATGGTACACCTATAATAAGTGTTTACATTGGGACTATTTTACACTGGTTCGGATCGCTGCCGCTGCGGAGTAGCCCAGTGCCTGCGTGACTCGTCATAGACGTACACAGAGAGATGTAGTTCCGGCTGCAATGTTCTTCTGAAAGACGCATTATTCTGTTAATAAATGCAAGTTTATTATCGTTCGCTATAGTGCCAAAAGCGTAAAAAATAAAGCCTCACATTGACAAAGCCTCATAAATAACATGCAAGTATTGAGGCCCCAGACAGCAGTCATTTAGTAATAGCCTATATTCTTTCTTTTTTTACCTACACACCAGTGTGAATATTTTTGTTTTTGCATTTCAAATAGGGCCAATATATAGACTTCTCGTTTTTAAATTAAAAAGGGCCTACTGATGTTTTTGTTATTGTATTTTCAATATTATAGGCTATTATTTGTGCATAAACATACCGTTTGTTTGAAAAAAAACCCAACATATTTTGTCATCCTTGCTGCAATTACAAGAGCGATAATATCATTATATCATATTTTCTTGGGAAAAAGGGGGTCTCAGACAAAAAAAGGTTGGGAACCACTGCTGTAGGGAACTGAGTTTGGCACCACTAGTGTAAGTGAACCTCAAGGAATATATTACAATAATGTAAAACTCATGGCATGACCCCTGTAAAGATGTAAGATGCATTATTAAAGGATTCTTCAGCTATTAATGATGAAACACTCACAGAGCTTTTCTGCAGTTGACCACAGCTGGTACCAGTCTTCTTCTGCCCTCATCTGATGTGTTGTATTTCTTGAGGTTCAGCTCATCCAGCGGCTCCTCTGAGATCTGAAGCATGTAGGAGATTGTTGAGCAGTGAGACGGAGAGAGTTCCTTCTCTGAGTGTTTGTCTGATTTCACAAACTCCTGAATCTCTCTGGACAGAGTCTGATCTTTCACTTCCAGCAGACAGAGGAACAGATTGATGGATTGATCCGCTGAGAGATCAGATGATTGATCTTTGATCGTGTCTTTAATGTGCTGTGTGGTTCTACTGATGGTCTCTGAGCTGTTCTCTGTGTGTGTCAGTAGATCCTGTAAGAGTCTCTGATTGGACTCCAGTGAGACGCCCAGCAGGAACCGCAGGAACAGATCCAGCTGTCCATTCTCACTTTTGAGGGCTTTATCTACTGCTGATCTTAGTAGATCATACAGAGAGACTTCATCAGATCCATTTTCAGAGTCAGAATCACTTTCAGAAACATATTCAGAGTCAGAATCACTTTCAGATCCATTTTCAGAATCAGAATCATATTCAAGGTCATGTTTATATTTTGCTTCCAGAAGCTCCAGTGGTTCCTTGTTCTCTGTTAAATAGCAGTAAAACACATAGAAAGCAGCGAGAAACTCCTGAAAGCTCAGATGAATGAAGCTGTAGACTTTCCTCTGATGAATCACAGATTCCTCCTTAAAGATCTCAGTGCAAATCCCAGAATGCACTGAGGCGGCAGTGACGTCTATGCCGCTCTCATTCAGGTCCTCCTCATAGAACATCACATTGCCCTTCATCAGCTGATGGAAAGCCACTTCAGCAAGTTTCACAATCACTTCTCTGTTGGACTGCAGGAGTTTCTCTGGATCTCTCTCTTCATACTTCTGGTTCCTCATGTGGATCTGAATCAGCAGGAAGTGGATGTACATTTCAGTCAGAGTTTGAGGGATTTCTGCACTCAGATCTTCTTCCAGGAGCTTCTGGAGCACAGTGGAGGAGATCCAGCAGAAGACGGGTATATGGCACATGATGTGGAGGCTTCTTGCTCTTCTGATGTGAGAGATGATTCTGCTGGCTTGATGCTCGTCACTGATTCTCTTCCTGAAATATTCCTCCTTCTGAGGATCAATGAATCCCTGAATCTCTGTCAGACGGTGGATGTATTCGGAGGGGATCTGATTGGCTGCTGCTGGTCTGGAGGTGATCCAGATGAGAGCAGAGGGAAGCAGATCTCCTTTCATGAGCTTTGACATCAACACACCCACTGATGAAGTCTCAGTCACATCAGAAACTTCCTGAGCGTCTGAAAACATCAGTGGGATTCTGCTTTCATCCAGACCATCAAAGATGAACACAACTTTACACTCCTCATACATCTTTGAGTCCAGATCTTGAAGTTCAGGATGAAAGTCCAGCAGAAGTCTGTGAAGACTGTACGGATGATCTCGGATCAAGTTCAGCTCTCGAAATGGAAGCACAAACATGAAATCTACATCCTGATGGTCTTTCCCCTCGGCCCAGTCCAGAATGAACTTCTGCACAGAGACGGTTTTCCCGATTCCAGCGATGCCTTTAGTAAGAACAGTCTTGATCTGCTGTTTCTCCTGGCGTCCTGGTTCAGGAGAGGCTTTAAAGATGTCATTGCAGGAGATTGGAGTGTCTTGTGAGTGTTGTGTTCTGGCTGTTTTCTCCATCTGTAAAACCTCATGTTCTTCATTCACTCCTCCTCTCTCTCCCTCTATGATGTAGAGCTGTGTGTAGATCCTGTTCAGGAGGGTTTCATTCCCTTGGAGATTCAGGCCCTCAAATAATCTCTCATACTTGTTCTTCATGCTGGTTTTGAGTCGGTCTTTGACTCTCTGTAGTTCATCATTCACTGGTTGAGGAGAATCCTGATCTCCAGTCTGATCATCTCTATAAGATGAAAAAAAATTATGAAATAAAGGAAATCAATACAGATGGCAATCTTGTATTTTTCATATATTTTAAGTGTTATTTTTTTTACACTAGGTAAAAGTTTTCAATCACTGAAATTTTGTCCATTGATTTGAGGTAAAATAAAAAAATACTGAACAAAACCTCAACATGAAACAACTCGTCTCTGGACGGGACATTGTCCTCAATCATGACCCTGAAAATGGCTGGGCTTGAGCCGAACTGTTTCAAATGTGAGCCAACATTACAAATGATAAAGGACTCCAAAAGGCAACCAATACTCACAATAAACAACTCCCTTCTCTCACACACACACACACACACATGGAAATTGAATAAATACTTAGTATTTGGTTGAATTGTCAGTGCCATGTGTCAAATATTTTCTTCTGAAACTTCCTGCTCTGCCACTGTTCGGACGCTCTTGCTTACTGCTCCGCGCTTTGCTCTATCGCTTTTATATTTTTATATTTTATCTCCTTTTATCACCTAATTTTAACTTCAGCTAATCAGCACAGTGCTCAAACGCTTGGATTACTACAAAAAAGCAGAATTCTTTTTACTTGACCAGCCTCCCACTGAAAGCTTACATTCCGGGGAAGAGAAAATCACAACTGTCTACACTCATAAAGGATAAGAGAAAATGCCTCCTCTGGAATCTACTTGCTGCATTAACTGCCACAGACTTTTACAAAGGATTGTAGTTCTTGAAACAAAGTTATTTGTGGGACCACCAAACCAGACGGAACACACAACAGAGATCAGCCATGGACGCCCTCAGCATACAGCCGGTGAGTCCCATGCATCTAGTACTCCTCGACAGGCCATACTGAGTGTAGAGAAACAAGCCGATCGACTTACAAATCGATGGCACAAACAGGGAGCGAGACCCAAAGGCACTCGAGACATCAGATTGTCACGAGTATCACATATTGCCGCAGTAGCATCCTCTACCCCAGATACGGCTCTGACAAGGATTGCAAACACTGGTCTCCTACCACCGCCTATACATCTTGAGAACAGATTTGAAGTATTAATGAATGAGGAATCCCTGAATGTGATGAATGTGATCGAACACAGACTGAATCAGCCAGTTACCAACACTGCTAACTGGCGCTCAAGGTCGAGCAGACAGCGGCACTCAGCTCAGAGCGCAGCCGAGCCCAGGACTCTGATAGTGGGTGACTCCATAATCAAAAACATTAGTAGCAGGGATACAACTACATGCTGCCTTCCACAAGCAACAACTTCTGATGTAAACAGGGAACTTCAGAACATTCTGATGAAACATAAAACTGCAAATCGACTCATCATTCATGTGGGGAAAAATGATATTCATAAAGAGCAGTCAGAACTCCTTAAGAAGGATTTCAATGAACTTTTTGAAACACTTAAAAGACTGAAAGTTCAAACATTCATCAGTGGACCACTCCCAGCAAGAGGAACAAACAGGTTTTCACGGTTGCTTGGGCTTAATACATGGCTCCAAAAAACCTGCTATTTAAAAGGAGTAAACTTCATTGACAACTTCAATCTTTTCTGGAGTCAGAGGCAACTGTTTCAACAGGATGGGCTCCACCCAAACAAACTTGGCTCAAGAGTGCTAAAGGACAATATCTGCTTCTCCCTCAATCATCCTTCTGCAGTCTGTGCCAATCCACTCAACCTGAATGGCACACACATACCTGGACACAGTATGAATGACCACAGGACTTCACTTCAGCACCTGAATGGACATGCGGTTGACACGTCACACAAGGACAATGATAACACCATGCAGCCACAACAACTTCTGCTCACGGACACAATCTCAGCTGAGCCCCGCCCACAGAGCTCACCACAGACAGAATGTGACATACTAGAACTGCTCCAAGATTCAGCACCCAAGGACGACTTTCTGGAAAACAGACAGGGAAACCAGGACAGCATATTACAGCCGATAACACCAGAGCAACAGCCCGTCTCACCAGACACATTTTCTCTATCTCCAGCATCTCCACTTCTGTGCTTCTCAGAGAAAATGGAAGAACTGGTGTTTGCTGGAACCAAACTATCCCACTCTTTTGCTGCAAGCCCCCAGATGTCAACCAAAAAGCGGCAGGCCCCACAACCACCAAAGCCTGCAGGCCCAGCTCGCCCTCCCCCTCCTCCTGTGAGAGCTCTTCGGCCTCTGCCACAGCGCCAGGGCTCACACCCTCCTCTATCGGCCCGAGGTCAACCAAAAACAACTGATACCAGCTCTCAGTGATATGTGTCGGGTCTCCGCTATGACAACAGTAACTTTCTTAAATGTTTACATAACAAGCGGGAACCCAGTGTGCCTGTATCTTTCTCTATTGCTGTTCGATTACATGATAGAAGGTCTAAGGCCTTCAAAAGCCGTACAGCAAACCCATCTAATCTGGTACCTATTACACGCCAAACTAAGACTGCTGTGGGGACAAAAAGTAAGACTGTTAAGTTAGCACTTTTAAACATCCGCTCACTTAAAAATAAATCACTTCTAGTCAATGACTTAATAACCACATACAACCTGGATTTTATGCTTCTAAATGAAACCTGGCTAGAAGACAGCTGCAGTGCAACAGTCCTCAATGAAACAGCCCCTCCTAACTTTACTTTTATGAGTGTCTGCAGAGCTGTAAGGAGAGGTGGAGGAGTAGCTGCTCTTTTTAAGGATGTCTATCAATGTAAGCAAACATCATTTGGTAACTACCCGTCTTTTGAATATCTCGGTATTGTTTTAAAAGGTTCCCCACGCATCTTACTTATCATTATTTACAGGCCTCCAAAATACTCTCCAGCCTTTGCTGAGGACTTTACAGAACTGTTATCAACAATTTCCTCAGAGTTCGACTGTTTTGCTATTGCTGGAGATTTTAACATTCACATAGATAATGATACAAATATGGCAAAAGAAATCAAAACTGTTTTAAAAACTTTTGACCTGATTCAGCATGTACACGGACCGACACACACTCGTGGACACACTCTAGATTTACTTATCAGTAAGGGTCTAAACATTTCATCGATTGTTATTAAGGATGTAGCACTGTCTGATCATTTCTGTATTTTCTTTGATATATTGATCTCTCCTGCCATTGAAGCTAGATCTGTGTCTGTCAAGAAGAGATGCATAAATGAGAACACTAGTGTACTATTTATGAAGGCTATATCTTCAACACCAAGCATATCTGCTGACTCTGTTGATTTTCTCCTTGATTGTTTTAACTCAAAAGTTAAAAGTGTAATTGATGATATTGCTCCTGTGAAAGTCAGGAAGAGTGGTAGACAAAAAGCACCTTGGAGAAACTCAACAGCTGTGCAAAATATGAAAAGACAATGCAGAAAAACAGAGCGCATGTGGCGGAAGACAAAACTTGTAGTCCATTATAACATCTACAAAGACAGCATCCATGCTTTTAATATGGAACTAGGCAAAGCTAGACAGACTTTCTTCTCAAATATTATAAACAGCAACTTAAACAACACACGCACTCTTTTTGCTACTGTAGAGAGACTGACAAACCCCCCAAGCCAGATTCCCAGTGAAATGCTTTCAGACAGCAAGTGCAGGGAGTTTGCTTTTTTCTTCTCTGAGAAAATCAATAATATCAGAAAGGTGATCAGCACATCATTGAGCCGCACTGGGGTCAGACAGATCAGACCACAACCGCAGAAAGTAGCTACTATGTCTGATTTTGAAGAAATTGATGGCAAAATTTTAGAAGAAACCGTACAGCACCTTAAAACATCAACCTGCGCCCTTGACGCACTTCCCACATCTTTCTTCAAAAGTGTGTTAAACTGTTTAGAAGCAGATCTCCTAGAAATGGTAAATGCCTCACTTCTCTCTGGGAATTTTCCAAACTCCCTGAAAACTGCAGTTGTCAAGCCCCTCCTGAAAAAGATCAATCTGGATAAGACCATATTAAGCAACTATAGACCGATCTCAAATCTTCCTTTCATAGGGAAGATCATTGAAAAAGTTGTCTTCAATCAGGTGAACAAATTCTTAAGCTTGAATGGATACTTTGACAATTTTCAATCTGGTTTCAGATCGCATCACAGCACAGAGACAGCGCTCATAAAGATAATAAATGATATTCGCTTAAATACTGATACAGGGAAATTATCAGTGCTGGTACTACTCGACCTCAGTGCTGCATTTGACACTGTCGATCACGACATACTTCTTGACAGGCTGGAAAACTGGGTGGGGCTTTCTGGGATAGTCCTAAAATGGTTCAGGTCATACTTAGAAGGGAGAGGTTATTATGTGAGTATAGGAGACCATAAGTCTGAGTGGACGTCCATGACATGTGGAGTCCCTCAAGGCTCAATTCTTGCACCACTCCTGTTCAACCTGTATATGCTCCCAATGAGCCAAATAATGAGAAAGAACAAAATCTCTTACCACAGCTATGCAGACGACACACAGCTCTACTTATCCCTATCGCCTAACGATTACAGCCCCATTGACTCCCTGTGCCAATGCATTGATGAAGTAAACAGTTGGATGTGCCAAAACTTTCTTCAGTTAAACAAAGACAAAACTGAAGTCATTGCGTTTGGAAACAAAGATGAAGTTCTCAAGGTGAATGCATACCTTGACGCTAGGGGTCTAACAACTAAAAATCAAGTCAGGAATCTTGGTGTGTCTCTAGAGTCAGACCTTAGTTTCAGTAGTCATGTCAAATCAATAACTAAATCAGCATACTATCATCTGAAAAATATTGCAAGAATTAGATGCTTTGTTTCCAGTCAAGACTTAGAGAAACTTGTGCATGCTTTCATCACCAGCAGGGTGGATTACTGTAATGGACTCCTCACTGGCCTTCCTAAAAAGACCATAAGACAGTTGCAGCTCATACAGAACGCTGCTGCCAGGCTTCTGAGCAGAACCAGAAAATATGAACACATCACACCAGTCCTCAGGTCTTTACACTGGCTCCCAGTTACATTTAGGATTGATTTTA